CCTTCCCCCCCATCCGACCCCCGCGGAGCCAAGCCCCCTGCCCGCTTTTTGATTTAATTAAAGGGAAGAGGGCGCATCAATTTCATTGGCGGTGCAGAGAGATGACAGCACACAAATTGAAAGAAAGCAGCTCGGCCGGCGGAGGAGGAGGAGACCAGCGCTCATCATTAACACTGAACACAATCCTGTGTGCCATGTAACAAGATTAGAAACATTATTATCATTCTCCCGTACACAGACAGACAGAAGTCATAAAGTCATCATCTGCTTCTTTGTTCTCCTGGTGATTTTGTGACATGAAAACATCACATACATACTGAGGCTTGCCTATAAATGTCATTTAAAATTTCTTCATTGTGGATCATTTTTTCAGAACTAACTTTTCAACACCAGGTTAATTGTTTTAGCATTTCAAAGTGTACCAGATGTTTTGTTTTCAAATGTGTTTGTGCATCTTTCCTTCAAATAAATGACACTGTGTAATCTAAAGCAAAGACAGATATTTTTAAGCACTTTTATTTGAAATTCTTCATCCATTTCTGTAACACTTTACTTGAAAGTATTTTTAATGTATTACTCGTGCCTTATAATCCATTGTATGGTCTCATAAATAATTGTGACCGCAGGTTTAATACATTATAATACTTATCTGTTTATCGTTTAGAAAGTATAAAGCATTAAAACATTACAAACAAGCAACAAGGAATCTGCAAATAGGCCTATTATAATGCATTTTAGCTTGAGTTACAATTATGTATTAAAGATATAATGCATTATAACGTAGATTATGAATACCTTCATATTGCATTACACAAAAAGGCTTCAGGTAAAATGAAACAAGCAACACCAGGCTTTATGTACTTGAGGTGATTTTGAACACACATAGATATTCGCTTAATTACAGAAGTCAGTCATGAGCTCAGACTCTGCTTATATGACTGGAAATAATGACCTGCAGTTATAAAATAGTTGAATCTAAAGAGTCAAATAAGTTCAAATATTGTTCAAAGGGACTATTTCATCTAGAAGAAGAAAAAATAGCAATATGTATGCTGTAGGGTTATTATAGTTAACGGAAACGAAACCTGAAAAATTAAACACATAAATAAATCTTTGTTGCTTGACATTAAAAAGTAATAAAAAAAAGCTTTATATAAGAACTGCTAAAATGACAAAAACAACAAAATTACTAAAATTAAAATGAAACACAAAAATATAAAATTTAAAAAATGATTCAAAATATCAATAAAAACTATAATAGTGTCTCAATGTTATTAAAATAACAGTGGTATGCGGTTAAGTTAGCAATATGCTCTCTGCTTATTATGCTTTAGATGAAAACTGATTGACCCCTCAATCTCATTTAAGTTTGGGGAACATCATAACATTTAGAGAAGTGAGGATGCATTTTATTTGTTCTTCCTTTGAATTTACTACAGAATCTTATAACATTTCAGTCAAGTGTCTAAACAGCTGAATCATGCTATTTCCTAAAAGTCTCCTCATAAACCTGCCGATATCCAAAATGAAGGACATTTTTATTACCCAAGTGAAAGAAACACGCTTTTTACTTCTTCCAGACAAAGTCACAAGCTTTCTTTGACTTACTACTGACAGCTTTATTTGAGTACTGTGGCATAATAACTAGTTTTCAAAACGAAGGAGTGTGTGAGTAAAGGAGGAAATAAAGGGGATCAGACGTGTTTGCGCTCATCGGGTGTCACTGAAACACACACTGGGTTTGTGGGTATTTTCCTGATGTGACGCAGGTGAAACTCAGTACCGCTGCTGTGAAGGTGAGATTCATATGAAATGAGATATCTGAGCAAACAGACAGATGCATTTTACTCTGCCGAGGCAAAGGAAGTCCAATCTTATACAGGAGCTGTAAATAAATAAATGCATAAATACATACATACAAGAAAATCAATTAAAATTATTATTTTAAAGATTCATGTGAAAGCAGATATCTGAGCCAACAGACATGGAAATGATAACAGAATAAAAATGCTTTGCTATTTGTTTACCAATAAAGCTTCATGAAACACATTTGGCTGCATTTCATTTTGTGACAGATTTTGTAACATGACAGTATGATGCTGCTAACACACACATTCATAATGAAAGAAGTCTCTTGTTCACCAAGCCTGCATTTATTTGATAAAAAATACAGTAAAAACTGTAATATTGTGAAATATTATTACAATTTAAAATATCTGTTTTCTATGTGAATATCTGTTAAACTGCAGTTTATTTCTGTGATCAAAGCTGAATTTCAGCATCATTACTCCAGTCTTCAGTGTCACATGATCTTCAGAAATCATTCTAATATGCTGATTTACTGCTCAAGAAACATTTCTGATTATTATCAAATAATCAAATCAAATATAGCATTATACATGTCTTTACTGTCACTGTTGATTAGTTTAATGCATCCTAGATTAATTAAAGTAAGAATAAAAAAAAGTTACTGATTCACTGACCCTAAAAATGTTAAGTGTATAGTGTGTATAAAACAAAGTTCGCTACTAGGACACTATTAATTTCCAATGAGTGGAAATGGTGTAATTTTATTTTATAGTTTAGATAGCTTATCAACATGCTAACAGTAAAACACTAACGAATCAAGTGTAATTCAGGAGCACTATGTGTAAGTGTAGAGCTTCCTGTCTTTGTAGACAACTGTCTATGTAGGGAACAGAAGGCAGCTCACTGTGGAACAGAGCTGTACTTCAGCTCAAGTCGTTAGTTTGCCATAAATACAATTCAATTCAAAATTGCTTTATTGGCATGACTGTAAAAAAATACAATATTGCCAAAAATACTCTAGCACTTTCAAAAAGGCAAGCTGTAACCAAAAACGGGTTTAGCTCATAATCTGACTGGGTGGAGTTGAATCTTTCGCATGAAGGCGCTGTATGCTGGCTCTCCGAACACGGGGACGATCAGCTGTTGTGCGGTAGACAGTGGCTCTAAACGCGCGCGGCGGTGAGTGGGCGAATATGGGACTGATCGGAGCGCGCTGCTGTACTGCCGCTTGGCTTTGATTTGTTGTGAAGACAGCAGCAGCGAGACGCGCCCGACTCCAGGCTGTTCCCAGCATGCCCGCGGAGAGTGACACTTCCTCTGCAGTCTGAAGACGTGCGCTGAAGCGCTGCCAGCAGATCTCAGCACCGGCCTGACATTCATGAGCAGCGAGCAGCTCCACCGCGGCGCCCAGCGGGAACACACTCCACCTGCGCCCGTCTGCGCTCACGCTCGGCCCGTGTGAGTCACGCGCTGCCACGCTCTGGAAGTAATGATGTAATTGAGCGCTCATATACATCCATGGTCACACAATATTGCTCATACATCAGCGGATGACTCCAATGGCCTCCCACTGTCCACGACAACAATCAAAGGCCCCATGACTTTTTATTGCATAAGGATTTTTTATTTTATTTTTATCTTTTTTATTTCACAATTTCGGTATGATGTTTTTGAGCTTGGCATAACTAATAAAATAACTAGTAACTAGTAAAATGTGCACTGAAAAAAAAAAAAAAGATTTTTCAAAGTTGTGAATAATAAAATAATAATAATAATAATAAAAAAAAAGATTATTGGAGTATGTTTTACATGAAAATACTATTTCAGTTTTTCTACTTTAAGAATTTAATATTTAATTCAATGTGTTACTTGATGATGCTTTGTAACTATTTGTGAAATTTCCTAGCAATTTCTGAGGGAAAATTGTTACACAATTTTACACCGGTTTTTTCAGTGTATATTCAGTATAAAAATGTCCATGGAGTTTTACAATTTGATACATTTACATGACTTTTCCAGGTCTAGAAATCACCATTTTAATAAAATTAGATTACCGTGATATATCGCATTACCGAATACCGGCACAAGTCTAGCTTCATTTCTTTCTTTAAATTATCTGACCAGCACAAAAACAAAATGCAAAAGTAATAACTGTTTTCAGACAGGTTTCCTGAACCCTTCCTCCGTCTGCAATTGGTCAGTTGGTCACCGACGCCCCTCTCTGTGCACACCACTGCATTGGTCAGTTTTCCTGCCTCAAACTCACACCATAGGATGAGCCTGAAGTTGCCAAGTTCGGCCCAGTCAGGTCAGCTTCCATGAGAATTTTCAGATTATCTGTATTGGATTTGTTAGCTTTTTTTCCTTTTGTTTCTTAATTAAGGATCCAAAGAAAATTAGTTTCCCCTTCAGGAACTCGAGCTGCGTCGAAACGCTACGGGAACGCCTCCAGCGTGACCACGCTCTGAATCACATGTGTAATCAGTCCAATGGATGGGCGAGACGTCACGGGCGGAGTGACGTAGTGACCAGGAAGTATAAAAGCATGTGCGGTGAAACCGACGTCAGCTTTCTGTCATTCAGCAAGCGCTCTGTGTGTGTCAGTCTTATTTGGTGTTGTCTGTCCATTATCATTCTTTATTTGACCAATACGAGTGTAGACAAACATACGGCGAGAGCCGGCAGCATCTCAGGCTGTG